TCTCCCCAGCCTCACCATCCCTCCTCTCCTCCACCCTCCATGTCTCCCCAGCCTCACCATCCCCCCTCTCCTCCATCCTCCGTGTCTCCCCAGCCTCACCATCACTCCTATAATCATCATCTACCTGCAAACCTGAAAAACAGACAGATTGTGGCACTGACAGACATTTATCACTGCACATGCGGTATGATAATGCTGGCAGAGAGACATCCAAGTAGTCAGATCTGACACTTTGAAAGCAAAAAATGCAAATATAAAAAAAGAAAATTTATGTAGTGACTTTGCTGTTGTAGAAAGAATTGTTGCTAGAAACAATATTTAGATATATCTTCAATATAAATTCTAATCCGGTTCTGAATTTATTCGTTTTTTAAAATGATATATGTTTTTAAAAGCAATTATTTAGTTATGTAGAAAAGCAGAGTATTGATAGGTTTAGCTCCTAGATAACTCTCTTCTATCAGAAGGTCACTGCAGTTCTCTGACACGCTTGGAAAGGGGGGGGGGGGGCAGGCAGAGGAGTATTTACCACTAGATGCCACTAAATCTTTAAACAAAGTACAATTTGTGTGCAATTTAAGTGTAACGGAGCACCATTAAATCCATTATTGCAGAATGTAAAGAATATGACAAATATACCAAGAGAGGACCAATACTCAGGGGGTTGAACTCTTATGTAAGCTCTGCATGTACCATTGAGGACGCAGAGGAATGTGTGTGGGCTACTTTTAATCAATCAATCAATCAATCAATCAATCAATCAATCTTCCAACAGCCAGATCATTGATTGTTTGTCACCTCAACCTGGAGGTCAAACCACAGCTACACAGACAGACTCATGACCTCAGGAACAATCCCAGCTCTAAAAATAGCTTTTGGGTTTCTCTTTTTGGTTTTGTGGTATTTTGGTTATATATATTTGAATAATTCCCATAATTTTGTTCTATTTTAGCTCTGGTGTCAAATAGATTGTTCTTGTCTTGTCCTTAGGTAAATGGAAAAGGGGTCAAATGGTAAACACTTCCTGTTGCAATTCAGTCACATGGTTCAGGTTCAGGTTACTGTTATTTGTACCCATACGTAGACGTGGTTTGCAATAGAAGGCGAGGCATCCACCTCGACACACATTACAATCAACACAGACAATTCTATACTCTATACTAAATCTATGTAATGAGAATACAGGAGGAACTGAACCATCTTTTAAGTTAATTCACTAATTCAATCATTTTTTAACTGACCTGATGTTTTACACTGATTGTAAAATATCATGATGGTTAATATGATTATCTTAAACCAGAAAAGCTAAAAGTAAAGATGAACAATGATCAGAAGTGATGCTTTTATGGTCATCCAGGTTATAAAATCCTATTTGTGTTTCCACAGCCCAACAGACTCAATCAGTTTTGCCGCTAGTGAGGCAAAGGAACTCTTCATTTTAGAACATACCTGCCAAAAAAACATTAACCACAGCAGCTGTTTGCTGCTTGGTTATTCACAGGATATTAGCAACTGCACAGAGCCACAACAGCGGCTTAAAGACCTCAACTGGGAACAAAGACTTGTGAGGTTTAACAGGCTTAACACCACCCACTGCTCATCTGGGATGGAAACAGCAGCAGCACAATATCGCCACCCTGAGAAAAGATGAGAGTACTGTGACTGGAGGATGACTCACCTACTGGCACTGTTCAGGCATTTTTAACTTTTTTATAATTAAGCGTATCTTCCATTTTCTTTATTTCATGATCCATTACTTTTATCTCCTTCTATGATATGAAGCTTCAATATGACAAAAATATGATGTGCAAGGTAGAAATCCCGTGGCTTCAGCAGTCTGAGCTGCAGAGAAAGAGAACACTCCTTAGGTACCAAAAGGTTTTCATTAATAGTTCAGAATCTGATTTCCCTATCAGTGATCAGCGTGCACATGCTTGAATTATATTCCTCTCAGCGACTGTCTTTACATTCTTTCCTTCTGAGAGAGAGAGCCAGTGGAATCATCTGCCTGGTTTCATTTCTGAATACGAACGCATGCCCTGCAGTGTGTTTGCTAATTTCCTATTACTGTAATGGAGAGGGGAGGGGTCACAGTCAGCAGAATGTTAAATGACTTTAATGTGAAACTGAAAAGTAGAAGACAACAGAGACTTTTTTCAACTTGTATCTTTTACCACTAAAACAAAAGCAGCCCATGCCAACCAATCACAGCTCACCCTGACTCCATGTCTGTAGCACAAACAGGCAGTTTACTTATATTTCAATAAGCCCATTTAAGTATAAACCACTTCAAAAGAATGAAATGACTAAATGTTGTTCAGGGTTTAGTATTTAGCAATACGACCTAAATGCCTCAGAATATTTAGAGGAGTTTAAGCATACTACTGACCAGCATCGGCAGAAAACAAGGCAGAGTCAGTGAATCAGAAACAGAACAGCTAACTAGCTGTCACAAGCTCACAATCTCATACCCTTTTCAGACATGTAATGTGGAACAATTGCTGGTCTCATCTCTCTGTGAGCAATGGAGCTTTGGAAATGGTCGTCTTGGCTTTATCTAGATATGACAGTTCAGGGAAAGATCCACATTCTCAATGATATCTGTCACTCAGTCCACAGAGCGCTGCCACTGCTGGAGAAGATGTGGAGTTGAAAAGTAATCAAATGAAAAGAGAAGATTGAGAAGAGAGACAATGTTCCTACCTTTGTAGTGCCGATCATCTTTGGGATCAGAGAAGAGGAGACAAACAGAGTTTGGTTTTACGACTCATCTGAAATAGGCCACAGACATATCTCATTTGTTCCATGCAAAGATACACAAGAGGCAAACATACACTGCATAGTCAGTATTTAACACTGCTCTTTTAATTAGATTAGATAAATGTACTGAATGTCCATCTTAACATGAGGGTAGAGGAACAGACTGTCAGCATGTGGAATCAGCCAATGTGATGGTAAATGAAACCGCCTCATGCACCAAATAAAAGGAGCTGGACTACATGACATCACACAATTCCACACTATTCCACTTATCAACAGTTGGTGGTGGTAATGCGTCATAACAGCAAAGTCCCAGCATAAGGCAGGGGGAGGGAGAGCACATCTAAACAATGCTGCTTCACCTTGTAAACATGGACTTTATGAGGAAAGAAATGCATTCAGTCCTTTACTCTGGTGCCTTTGAAATAGTGTACATTTTCTTCAACCAATCAATAAACCACTTGTGTCATTTTTTTTTCTTTTAGTTTGAACCCAAAATGTTGAGCCGTGCAGCAGAGGATGAATGGAGGAGAGTGACTCACAGTGACACACAGGTTTTGGGGTGTCCCACTTGCCCATCGTATTGCAGTGTGTTGAGTTCCGGCCCATGAGGATGAAGCCAGGCAGACAGCTGTAATGTAGCTCTGTGCCCTCCACCGGGGGCCCCAGGGGCCCCAGGGGCCCCAGGGGCCACGAAGACACCCGGCCATTTTCCAATGATGTCCACACCCGGGGACACAACAACACTGGAATAGAAAGACAGATGAGACTGTATTTTACACATGTTCTGAAGAGAGATCTCATACTTAATGATAGTGTGATAGAACTATTTATCACAGTCGCTGTCTTTGATACAGCCACTGCAAATAGATACATAGTTACTTTATTAATCCCAAAAGGGGAAATTGTTCCGCAACAGCAGCATTTATACATACACGTAAGCAATAAAAAAAGTAGAGTAAAAAATATTGAAAAATATTAAATGTAAAAATGCACAATATATACAATAACATCATATTAAATGAACTAACTAAACAATAGTGCAAATATTTAATCAAACAAACCAACAACAACAACAACAACAACACCAGAGTAACACTGTTGGATGTGTGATTGATCTGGCCAGAGGTGATTTATTATAGAGTCTTATAGCAGAGGGCAGGAATGTTCTCCTGTATCTGTCCTTGTGACAGCGGAGCTGGATCAGTCTGTTGGAGAAAGTGCTCCTCTGTCCCTGCAGTAGGTGGTGGAGAGGGTGGTCCAGGTTATCCAATATGGATAATAGTTTCTTCAGTGTCCTCCTCTCCACCACCTGTTCCAGATAGTCTTGTTTGCAGCCAATGATGGAGCCGGCCTCCTTAACCAGTTTGTTAAGTCTGTTGGTGTCTCCGCCTCCAATGCTGCTCCCCCAGCAGACTACAGAGAAGTACAGTGCACTGACCACAACAGACTGGTAGAACATCTGCACACATAGTGGCTTTAAAAAAATAAAAAAGAGTGCAATTGACATATTAAGTAAAAACACATTGTGAATAGATGGTGAGAAAGAGAGAAGAAGGAGTGAAGGAATTGTAGCGTAGCATAACAGCAGCTCATGAACAAAGGATAAACAAAAGCAGAGGATGAACAAAAGAGTGAGAGTCAAATGGATATTAATTTCATGTCTGTGTGTTAGCCATTATGAGGAACTTTGTGTCGATTTTGGTGGTTCCTGTGAACAAAAGCGTGCTTCCAAACACCAGAATCCCTTTAGAAAATGCTTTACAACAAGGTCTGACAGTCTGACCATCTCAGTCCTGGTTCTCCCCCGCCTCCCTTCCCTCCAGCAGGCCCATCAATACGGCCTGGGCCTCCAGCAGCGTGCCGTTTGCGGTAGACTGGTCTCTGCTGGAGGCGCCACTGGAGTCTGAGGTGAAGGACGTTTTGGTGAACCTGCATGATTTTGTCTGATTTCACCAGAATCCGACCCGGTGTAATAATGAAAAAAACATCACAAACCCCCATTTAATAACAATAAGCACAGGCTCCACCCTCTTACGGGCTCTATCGGTAATCCTCTCCTCCACTCTCTAGCACGAGTTTGCTGACTGAAAATTTCAGTAACATACATAGACAATCACTGTCCAAGAGATAAAACCATATGAATGGACAGGACGTCGACCAAGCTGCCGCTGTAAATATGTCCTCGACACTGAACCGCCAACTTTGCCATGCTGCATGTAGAATGTGTGCGGACCAGAGTAGGAGGGTCTTGTCCCGCCTGCCTATAGGCTTGGGAAATTCATTACAGCGAAGCATCGGGATTCCACTGCTGTTGGCGTTGAATATTGGGTAGCGCTAGGCAGAACTTGTTGGCTGGTGGCTGCTGAACACCCCTCTCTGGTTCCTGGAGACTTTGCATGCGAAGGTAAGCAGTCAGAGGGAAACTCACCATTCGCTGATGAGAAAAAAGATTGCAGACAGAGATGTGTGCTGCCTTATTTTATGTGGGTTCCGCACATATTCATTCTGATTTTCAGTGGGCAAATGCATGCTGACTGAAGGAGAGTATTACTGATAGAGTCCAGTAGAGGGTGGAGCCTGTGTGAGTTAAAACAGTCATGTGGTGTAGTTTCCTTTGCCAATACAAAAACATATCACACAGAATGAAGCCAGCATAGGAATCTCAGCCATAAACTCTATGTTGGAGTAAGATGACCAATCAGAATAGAGCAGTTACACTAAATCCAATCCAATGCCTTATACAGTTCACACCAAACGACTCATGGATGACAAAGGGAGCTCTGTATTTCCCTGTGTGAGGCTCAGAAATGTGTTCATTTACAGATCCCGAAAACTTTTCTATAACATGAAATATAGTCATGACTAACAAATTTCACAGTTTAAGTTCAGAAAAATAGCATTGTTATTATTACTTATTAAGAGTTAATCACTCAAACTCTCATAATCTGATTGATCAGGAATGTTTGGGACTAGTGTTATCACATTTGATTGATCAAAAGGAACCCACAACAATCAACACATTCGATTACATTGTTTATGTAAAATGCAAGACTCTGATTGGTACATAACATGCCTCCAACTGAGCCCCACCCACCTCACACCAGTCGGAGTCACTTGTCACACCTGAGCTCAAACCAGACTAATGACTGTCAATCACACTTGAAGGGAGAGGCCCAGGTGGAGCTGTGTTTCCCTGTGATGAAACACAGCCAAAGGGGCTTACAGCCTCAACAAACAAACACAGGAGCAATTAACAGCAATTAATGATGGCAACTGGTCCAACAACACCTTTAACATATTTAGTTACAAATGGACTAGTGTCTTGTGTCTTAAATGTGAACTATAGGTCGCTCAGGTTTCTTTTTACTGAAAAGCTCAAATTTCATCGTGCACAAGATGTTGGCCAATGAGAACAGAGGGATTCAGACACTCTCTCCTCAACATGATGAAAACAGGATATTTATTTATTCTGAGAGGACGATCAAAGGCTGGGGTATATATGTCTGGAAAAATGTTTCATGTGGGAGATGAATGAACGTGTGATGGAGAGTCAGCTGAGGTTAAACTCACAGCATCTGCTGCGCTGGCTTAGATCGGTCCAAGTGCCGTTGGGCAAACACTTCCTGACCTTGGGTCCCACAATCACTCTGTTGCCCCTGCAGATGTACTCTATCTCATAGTCTACTGGGAGCACCTGCACACTGCGGATCTACACACACACACACACACACACACACACACACACACACACAGAATTAAAATCAGTACCCCAGTAAAAATATACCATTACATAGATTTGGTTATTTTGGATGGATTTTGATGGCTAGTATATGAACCCCACCATCCAATTAGAAAAGATACGACTGAGTCCCATTACATCAAACACTTGAGTTACAGTATGTTCCCAAGTATATCTGTTTTTACTTCAACTGGAGAGAGAAACAGACCTTTCTTATTTTTACTGGTTTTACAAGTACATTTTGACATATTTCAATAACATCTCTCATTGTTTTCTGATCTGCTCCCATTTGAATTAGCTGTAAATGCAAACTGAACACTTCCTCCAAGTCTAACTTTGGGTTGAACTCTGTGCGGCTGTAAAAACCGAGTGACAGGAGCCATTCCTACCTGCTCTTGTGTCAGACCTCTGTACCTTATCCCTCCATCTCTGGGAGGACGGATGATAGCACAACCTGAAAGAGAGACAAACTGTCAGGTGGAGAAGAAAGAGTCCTGCAGTCCTCCAGCTCTGATCTGTCTCAATCTGCTGGCTGTTAATCAGCTGCAGGACAGACACTGATGCTGGATCCTGACAGCCACACAGATTTCAGACTAAAGCTCAATGCAAGTTTTAAACCCACGTTTCTGGCCATCAAATATCTATCAAAGATCTTCTGACAAGAGCTGTGTGTGTATCAAAGCCTGAGATCTCTTCTTCCTTTGTGCCATAGAGCTCCATTGTTGTCCAAAACACATCAGTGAGACACACTGTTGCACTGCTGACATGTTCCATCATCACCATGAACACACACACTGTAGTTTATTCTGTCTCAATCCCACATCTACCGTCTTGCTGCCACAAAGACTCACCAGAGTACCAAATGGGGATTAAACCGCTGCTGAAAATAGTCCCCAACAAATGCACTATTTCCTTGTTTTAGAGCAGGGATTCCCAAAGTGTGGTGCGCGAGCTGCCTCTAGGGGGTGCGCGAGAGGAAAAATGTAATGGTGGTCTAATGGTGCAGTCCTGTCTCCTAAAAATGACGTTCCCCCAAAACAAAAATGCATTCTCAATTACGTTTGACCATAAACGTATTTTCTCCCTGATTACGTTTGTGTTTGACGTATTACAAATACGTTTCTCATCAACATATCTTTGCCATACTCTAGTCTTTATTATTTTTCTGTGATCTGCCTCGCCTCTACCCCCGCCACCCACAAGGTGTTGCCCCGCGGTGTGTTCCGAGGGCTGACAGAGCTGACGATGGGGTGCCTCACGGCGGGGGCGGCTGGAGACCTCGCGTCTGGCGCCAACGGGTGAGCGCCCGCCACTCGGAACCATAAAACCAAGTCCCGGATTTCACCCGGGAGACATTCTGGAGGTATTGTGGCTGGGTGATGTGCCTCGTTGCTGGGGAGGTATGAGCCGAGAGTGGCGGGGTGTTATGGAGGTATATTTTATTTATTTGTATCCAACCCTAACCATAACTTCCACTAGGAAGCCACGTCCCCACCCAAACCTAACCCTTAAGAGAGTCACGGTTCCCGGATTTTACACGCGGGCCTTTGTGGAGGTATTGTAGCCGCGTAATGTTCCTCGTTGCTCAGCCTGGATGAGCGCATTTCTGCCGGAGACAGGCGGCGTGTTGTGGTAGTATTCTGACCGCGTAATAGGGAGGAGAGGCGGTGGTGGAGAGGGAAAAAAATGTTAGTGTTAAAATGTTGATTAGAAACGTATTTGTAATAAGTCAAACACAAACATAATCAGGTAGAAAATACGTTTTTGGTCAAACGTAATTGAGAATGCATTTTTGTTTTGGGGGAACATCATTTTTAGGAGACAGGGTTGCCATGCAGTCGGTGCAGTGAGGTTCTGGCTAACAGCTGTCTGAAGCCCTCTTATTTACGTCGCCACCTGAACACCAAGCATGCCAGTGCAAGTCAAAAGCCAAAACGTCAAAATTGGAGGAGTTACAAAACAGCCCAAAACAACTGCAGTCTCATTCATGTGTTGGGTCTACAAAACACGCACTACGGGCTTCATATCTGGTCAGTTACAGAATAGCAAGAAAGGGGCTACCGCACACAATCGCCGAAGACGTGTGCTTGCCAGCTGCCAAAGAGATGGTGGAATGTATGATGGAGAGAGAGAAGCAAACAAGTTGGACATGATCCCGGTGTCCAACAACACTGTGTCGCGCAGCATCGATGCTTTGTCCGAAGACATCCGGGCTACATTAGTCGGTCGCGTGAAGAAGAGTGAGTTCTACTCTCTGCAAGTAGACGAGTCTACACATGTGGCCAATATGGCCAATCTTCTGGTGTATGTCCGTTACCTTTTCGAAGGTACGGTGCAGGAAGATTTTTTGTCTTTTTTGTGTTTTTTATCTTGGAAACAAACGCCACGCGCGAGCAAACTGTTCTCTCATTGGTCCGATTTTTATGCGGCTATAAATAGGCTCTGTTGCTTTTTTTTAAGGTGTGGGGGATTGGGGGTGCGTGAACCCGGTCGGGAAGTAGAAGGGGGTGCGTGGCCTAAAACATTTGGGAACCGCTGTTTTAGCGTAACATTTTAACAACAAAAACAGTGACCAACTGTTTAAGGAAATTACTGAAGCCCCTTTTGAAAATGAACCTATATATTTTTTTAGATGTTTTAACAGATTTACATCTTCAATAGGCAGGAAGGCAGCTTAAAAGGTGCGATATACGAGATTCAAAGCACTAATAAAACAGCAATTATTTGCTATAGGCCTATAGAGGAGTAACGTCTACCTGAGCAGAGAATGAGCTCACTCTCCCTCTGTGATCGTTGTAATCCAAGCTTCTCCGTTCTGTGTTGGCATAGCCAGGCCAGCCTCACATGCTGTTTAGTGCATGTTCATGCATGTGATTAGCTCGCTCACAGCTGCTGATCTGCACTGCTGTCATATGGCTGTTACAGCTAATAACACCGTCCTGTTAGCTTATTCGTCACCATGTTGAGAGCTGTTGAGAGGCAGCAGATATGCTCCCAATCCCGTTCATGGCACCTTTAAATTAGGGGTGATTAGGGAAAATGATCTTGTTTGACATATTATATATAACGCAGTTACGGGCCGTGCATTTTATACCTGGGCCTTCAGTGCTGTCCTACTACAGATGAACCATCTCCTAATAACCTCATGATGACGCCACAGCTACGCTTATTATTTGTTTCTAGGGGTGTAATAATACACGTATTCATATTAAACCGTTCGGTACGAGGCTTACGAACCGAACAATACGTTTGAATAATACTAGTGTGACCGAGCGTCTTGGGTTTGTGTATAAGGGCACTTATCATACAGTAATAACTGGAGTCGGGAGACCAGACATCTTGTATCAGCCCACGGCTACTCTCTTTATTATTGTTTTCTCCTTTGGCCAGAGGCAGGAGTTGCGCCTTCGCTACGGCAACCATCAAGGGACATATCGTCAACACCAGAATGACAAACATGAGACAGTCTGTTACACTAGTGCATTTGGAAAATGCAGAAGCTTAAATTGTGGGAAATATAATGTTTTCGGTGGAGCCACTGCGCTCAACCTGGCAACCCACCCAATGTAACAGGCAACGTGCTGTCTGACACGCCCACCACCGAAGAACAACATTGTACATGGCACGTGTGATCAGGAAGGCTACGCTAAACTAGCTTAGCAGGAAAACAACAGCAGCACACACGCTACAAACTCTCCCCGCAGCGTTTAGCTGTTCCTACTGATTCAATCAGGGCTAAAGCAATCGCTACACAATCCCCATTTCTCCAGACCATAATTCTTGCTTTGTAAAAGAAAACAGATACATGAATACACGCATGACAGGATGCTTCGTCATTAACGGACAATGCATATCGTCAAAATCAATGTAATTAACACAATGACAAGAATGAACTCACAAGAACACATATTTATTAGTGCTGGGCAAGTTAACGCGCTAATTTCGCGTTAACGCATTCATTAATTAACGCCGACAATTATTTTATTGCGCGTTAACGCATTTTTTAAATTTATTATTATAATTTTTTTAATTTTTTTTTATTGAAAGACAAGAGACAATACATAGACATAACAACAAGAGCATGACAAGAACAGTGGGATAAAAGCCAGCAAACATCCTATAGTCAGTTGTGTGTGTATGTGTGTGTGTGTGTGTGTGTGTGTGTATGTCCTTCAGCCTTTTGAGATGGGAAAAAAATAAATAATAAAACAACAAAAAAAACAGGTAAGTATTTTTAATTTATTATTATTGTAACAGACTGTCTCATGTTTATGGTTTTGTATTGGAGATATGATGTCCCTTCAGGGTTGCCGTAGAGAAAAGGCGACTTCCGCTTCTGGTCGGGGGGGCATAAATAAAGAGAGAAGCTGCACCAGCTGTTGCTCTCCCTGGAGACTACTGGACATCGCTGTGGTAAAGTCAGCAGACACTCAGATCTCCGTGGTCAACTCAGCAGACACTTACATTTTAGTGCACCTATATGCTGAAATTCACGGTAAAAGCATTCAAACGGCACAGATCGGGAGCGAGCGAAGGACTTTGAAAGTTAGCGGAAAGATTAACGTGAGACAACATCCAGTTTCTTCAGACGAACATCCGGTTTTCAGAATAAGATGCCAACAAAGTATGAATTATATTCACATTAAGTATAAAACATGCTACCTGCATCTCGTGAACCAAATGTTATTGCCCCTTTGTTCATATAGCAGTACTTTTACAATAAAAGTGCGCAATACACTACTTTTGAATTCATTATTGAACTTTGCCATAACAATGCGATTAATCGCAAAAAATCCATGCGATTAATCGCGATTAAATATTTTAATTGTTGCCCAGCACTAATATTTATATGACAACAAAGCAACAAATCAATCCAGCAACACTGCAGCGCTAAAACACGTATTCCACCGCACACTAAAAAGCACCATTCAAATATTATTCACATCAGAGGGAACAATATCAACCATATCATGAAAACGACACGATAGACAAATTAACACAGTAGTAACGCTACTGCAGATGTAAAAACACAAAAGCACTTCACTTACCAAAGCTGCTGTTCACTTAAAGACAAAGTCCATCCTCCTTTCTTTGATTACAAAGAGTTTAATTACGTGGTTGAACAGAACATCGGTGCGGTTCAGTTCCAGCCAGAGGTCCTCCTGTGAACGTGTTCGTTGAGTTGTAGATCCACTCGGGTCTCAGCTAAAGTTGTCAAAAGCACCGTAGCTTATAAGTGTTCTGTCGTGCTATGGTGTCTTGTTGCTGCCAGCTCAGGTTAGCGTAGCATAGCTACAAACACCAAGACGCTCAGTCGCAAATAAAACGCATTCTCAGCCATAAAATGTGCAACGCTTCTCCGATGCTGAAATACCATTCGTACAAATCCTTTTCCTGGCTGGGTCAGGAATGCTAGCTGTGGGGTTGGCCGACCCTTTCTTATAATGTCCAGCT